CGGGGACCGGGTATTTTTTTCGAGGATGCAAGCTCACCAGGGATGGCCTGCGTCGCGATAATGCAGTTCATCCCCCACTCGACACTATTTCACCTGCATCTCGACCTCCCTCTTTTTTCTTCGCGGATTTCTCTTACTGGTGTCTCACATATTCTGAATCTCTCGTTATTCTATAGGTCAATCTGAACGACTATCTTCAGATTTCATGGATGCTATACTTTCCAGACTGAAACGAGCCTCGTCATTCCACGCTGTTTCTCAAGCTAATCCTACATCTTTTCCCTGGGTCCGTCTTTCGCCGCCTGCTAGTAGCATCTGGACATGTCGTCTCGCCCTTGCGCGGTGATCAACGGTGAACGAGTCTGAGCGGGGCTTGACGCGCCGGCGGCCGCTTTGTGGATCCATATGGACAATGTACGCGCCGCCACGCCAAGCCGAGCGGCCTCACCAAATTCGGCCTCGGGTCCGTTGCGCAGCACGGCTGTTGTTCTCCGTTCTCTGTTTCTTCCCGTTTCTATCCGTCGACCACGCAAGCACGGGGAGTCAGCAACTGCTTTTTATATACATTACGAGCAGGTTTGCGACACAACAATATGGGATCCTCAAACTCGGAAAGCCTACCGAGTCCATGGTCTTACTGGCGTGTACTACGCTGCGTGGCGAGATGGTCGCGGGATCTGCGAGATTCGAGACGACAATGATTCGTTAGGCAAGATTCGGGATTCGAGGTATGTATGTGACGGCTTCTTCCACACCGAATTCGCGATTTTTTCGTCCTTTTGACAATAAAGGGACACTAGCCCGGAATCATGTTTACCTCTGCTCCTGCTTCCGTCGCCATTCAGCGACCAGTGTTAAGTCGTGATGCACTTTTCGTTCACTCTCGCCCAAGTTTTTTTCAAGACATTATTGCTGACCGCTCGTTATTATGATCATCGGGATTCTCGTCACTCATTCAATTCGCCCAACGCACCCCATCTCGTCATTTGGCTGTGAACTCAATGTTGCTTGTGCTAAAAAAAAACTTTGACAGGACCCTCTTGGTAAGGCACTTGTTATTGGTGGTGGCTATTGGGTGGCTCGTACGACGGACATATATGATACAACATCCCTCGGTGCAATCGGATTCGCGTATGTTCACAATGTTGTGGACCATCCGATCTCATTCCGTTTAGATTCCGTGTCTGTTCTCGGTTCCACTCCGTGGGGTACGTCGCCAGACCGCACCGCGGAGCGGATCGCGTCAATGCGTTGGGCGAATGTTCGTGAGGCGCTCGGACCGCCGAGGACGTTGGACCTGAATTTGGCCTCCCTCGTACCATAGGATTCGCCTGCCATCGCCTGTTTTTTTTCTCTTCTGGTGCAGTTCCGGTGCTAGCGAAATTGCGCATTCAATTTTTTTCTCGGGTCGCGTACCGCGTTCAATTCCCCAATTTCGGTTGTCTCGCTTAACTCTTTCCCTAATGTCGGGTTCGTCGCGTAACCTCCGTAACCATCGAGGTAAGAAAACAGAAACATGTGCGAAACATATCTTTCTCGCTTAAGCTTACAAAAAGAAGAGAAGACTGGCTGGACAGCACCCGCGTCCGAGTCGGGGTCCAAACATGGCCCGCAATGCCAACTCTAATTGTTTTCCCCTCGGACGGTGGCCCGCTGGCGCTTCCACGTCGGCCTCCTCACTCCGAGGCCAATTGGATTGACGCTGAATTGACTAACTGTCATATTAGTGAACTGGATTGGAGTCGTTGACGCGGGGTTAGGAATAAACTTCAACTCCGGCTAGTTCGGTTTTCTTTTTTGCGAAAGCTCGACTGAGTCTGCAGGTGACTGAGCTCTTCCCGGTGTAGAGGCGTGTCCGTGATGCGTTGTGAGGATGCCGTATATCCGACCTTATAATTCAAGCCTTGTGGGCATTTTGGTTGACTTTCGGCCATCTCGGCCACACACAGTCACCGATATATTTCTCGACTACAAAACAGCGCTAAACGCTCAATTCAGTTTGGTTTGAGCGTTGACTCACAATTTGTAAATATGTATCGCAAATAAATCTTTCTCGAAATATGTCTTCCCGCAGTCAAAGCAACGAACTCTATGGAATGACCAACTGAAGTTAAACAAGATTACAAACTGCCGGCTCATCTTACGGATAAATTCCATCGGCACAAATAAAATGCTGGTCAGTGTGCCTGAGGAAAGTGATGTTGGATCCTTGTGCTTCAGGCAGGGCACCGTCATTCAACTCAGAAGTGAACATATCTTCTGCTCCTTTTTTTTTGAGGAAAGGAGGGGGCTGCACTCAATAGCTGCTTTTTATTTGTATTCGCGGTAAAAAAAATGAGAGAAGCACGGCGTAGACTTGAGGGTACAACGGCTAAGGAAAAAGCACAGCCACCGGCAAGTTCCGATCTCGCTTATTTTTCAACCACAACCATGATCAACCGTGTCTTTTGAATGCTCGCGGCTCGATTAATGCCACCTGCATGGTTTTCGATTTTTTTTTGGCAGACCTCTTTTTTTTCTGTGATCCTGGACTTGATTGACTTGGGGTTCAATATACAGGTTGCACAACAGCCAGTGGCTGATTTGGCATGTGCAAAATGGTGGCTGGTGACTCGAAAGGTCAAATACCTAAACTTGTTTTTCAGTGAATCAAACTATTTGTGAGTACTATCAACCACATACAAGGCTTACAATATCTTCCACTCTTTGGGCTGGCCAACTAGGGCCCAAAAATAGTGTTTCTTGGGTGGGAATTGGTGCTATGTCAAAGGTAGGGCTAGTTTTGTGAGATGCACCTTCGTCAGTCCATATTTGAGCTCCTAAAACAACTTCCTTCACATTTGGTTCATCAGCCACTCAAGCCACCAGCCACCAATTTGTGCATACCAAATCAGCCACTGGGTGGCTCCAGTGGCTGTTGTGCAACCTGCCTAATCATCTAACATTGGTTTGAAATTCAGGTTGATTTGCAAGTGATCTGAATACTTATAGGAGGATTTGCAGCCTGCCATCTTCAAACAGTTGAAGTGTTGATTTGAAAGACCAGTAACTGGGTCAGCACTGAGAACCAAACTGATATGAGTTGGGAAAGATACTCAGTCCATCTTGTGGCACAGACTAGGTCATACAGACATGTTAGAGTTATTCACAGTTTTTTTTAGCCAAGGTTTCTTGAGCATCTGATTGGTCAAGAGGTGTGGAGCAGCCAATCAGAGTTCAAGGAAATCTTAGCTAAATGCAGTCTTTAACCGTGAAATGAAACACAACCAGGAAGTGAAACACAATAACTTAGACCTCACCAATGAGCTCAAATTTTTGGGAGATGAATTTGCCTTATGGGAAGTCTGTGCATACAAAAGGAGTTGTGGAATGAGACACCATAGCGGCAGCACCATGCAATTTTGTGTTGACCATTATTTGACCCAGTTTAGACACTTCTGGCAGCAAGCCGGATAGCATCCTCTTATGCACCATGAGGTCCCAGATGCTACACAAGAGAATTTTTGGGGTCTAGGATACTCAAAATTGACACCCTAACAGCCGAGGTTGTATATATGTGGCACAATTGGTTGTTTTAAAGTGTTCCGCTTCCATGTTATTTGACCAAATTTGGGTGGCCAGAAAGATCCCTTTCATTCTCACCAAGAACTCCATATAAACCTGAGGTTGTTGCAGCCTCACAAAGCCAGGAGGCCCTTGCACAAGTTTACAACAAGGTATGATGTCATTGGGGCCTTACTGATGCCACAATTCGCTGTGCTGTCAGAGTGTTTTGCTTCACGGTTAAAGACTGTATGCTCTATTAAGTGTACAAGAACTTTTACGTGAACTTTTGCCAGCAGGATAGACTTATAAAAACATACAATGAATCCTACCCAAGGGGGATACCGGCCTATGATTACCTGACTGGTCTGGCAGCCAAAAACAAAAACAAAAAACCTGAGTACCATTACAGTAATTTCCTAGCTTTGTGAGGCTCAAGATTGGTTAGACGTTCCTTTGAGATGCAGTCAAAAATGGTTGAGGGCAAGTTGGTTCATTTGATTATTCAGTGGAGGTAAGTATTTTGAGGTCTTACCTGGGTCTCGTTAGCATTTAGGCATCTTGTAACCTTCTGATGATTCTCACCATGTCCATGGGCCTGGAACCTCATTTCAACCCAAAAAATTAAGCATCCCATGTGGAAATTGCCTTATGTGGATCACATCGGTTGTTGGATCAACAGGAAGTATTTCTAAAAGTCCGGGTCCAGTTTGACTTTCCAGACTTGATCCGACCCAAATTTGAAAGCAGTGTTCAAGCTTTGGTTGCAAACTCTTGTTGATACATAATGTGGTGGTCTAGAAGAAAGAAAAGAAAAGAAAGGAGGGAAAAGAGATGCAGTGGCAGGAATTCCCACAAAGATGTCCCGATATAGACAGGGCCATCGTGGAACATGCAGTTGATAACAAGTTTGATAACAAGATCCGACATCTCTAATCTTGTGGCATAGAAAGAAGATCATCTAGACATGTGGTCGAAGCGATTACGTATACTTGAGCTTTTACGTGAACTTTTGGCATCAGGTCAGACTTGTGAAGGCATGCATGCTGTTGCTTGACAGTTGCATAAACTAATATGTAGATCCAGCTCGAACTTGAAAGGGGTGTTTCAAATTTTGGTTGCTACATTCATATAGGGTCGTGGAATCTTATCTGCCATAAAAGATTGAGGACGGAACATCAACTGCTCAGTATCTGTGGCTTATATTTGCTTTCAGGTTGACTGCAGTGATGGCAGTGCAATGGTAGTGTTTGATTCATTTGGTACTAAGATCTTGTATGAGGGTTATCACTGACCCAATAGCACACTTGATAGTGCATCTGCAGCTGGTTTTTGTTCATATTGAAAATGTAAGCAGGAGACCCACGTTCCAATCGGGGCTGGTAATATTCTCTTTCCAGATATTACATTTTTTCTCCTTGATTTACTAATCACAAAAATTGAAGAAGCTAGCCATGGACCCAATAACACAGTTGGTAGTGCACCAGCTTACAATTAGTCATTCTGATTGGAATATGTAAGCTGGGGAGCCCTGTTCAATTCAGGGTTGGGTTATGATTGTTGATGAAGTGTTTTGTTTTTCTCTTTTCATTTTTTTCTTCAGTCCCTCCCTTCTACCCACATTCCAATCTTCCTCCCTCTTGGCTATTCTCACCTTCCCCTTCCCTCCTCCTCAGGGCTTCAAATTATCACTCTTTCCAACATACAAATTTATGAGGTTGAACCATCCAACCCAAACTGTTGAAAGAAAGTAACAGTGAGTACAAACCCCAAAAGTGAATTCCATAATCAAGGTCCAATAGTACAGGTTAGTGTGCCAGCTTATAATATGTTTGGTATAATTACGCAAGTTGGAGGGCTCTGTTCAATTCAGGGTTAGGTTATACTGGAGTCTATTTAGTTCAACCTTTTCTTCTTTTCTTCTGTGCTTCGCCCCCATCTGTCCCATCCTTTTCTACTCCGTCCTCATCTATTTCAACAAAAATTTAAAAACAATTTCGACAACACAAATTTTTAACCACAATCGTGACTCGTGATGACCATTCAACAAAGCATGCAAAGGCAACCACTTGGCACCCTAACCCAAAAACTGAGAAGCCAATCATGACCCAATAGCACAGTGGTTAGTGTGCCAGTAATTTGTGGCGCGGCTGGTAATATAAGCTGGAGATCCCTGTTCGATTCGGGGTTGGGTCATGGTCGGGCTTGTTTATATTTTTTTTATCTTTATTATCTTTTTTCTTCCTCTTTCTTCTGCACTTGGATCCTCCTCCCCTTCTCTTCAACTTTCGCTTCCGTTCAATTCATCACGCTGAAAACAAAATTTCATGCACAAACGATTTGAAAGCAACAGATATTCGTTGTTGACTGAGTGACCCAATGGCGAAGCGGTTAACGCGCCAGCATGCTATTATTTTGTATGTAAGCTGGAGGCCCTCGTTCGATCCGGGGTTGGTGTCCATTTTTTTTTTTTTGGTTCCTTCAAAAAATCTTGAGCCTGCCCTCCGTACGCGTGCTGCACAACTCGTTCAGCAAGTCCAATTTGCGCGCGACCGGTATCAATTCGATTCAATTCAATTCGACAGCACGAAAAGCAATACACGAAAGCAACGCAAAAAAACCAATCACAAAGAACAAAAAGAAAATAGTAACATAAAACCCAGTCGAGACTCGAAATACCCCTCCCACTCACTCCTCGCGCGCCACGATATGTATGTAATGTATCGTATCTGTACACTTATACTACAACCAACTAATACGTAGTCATAGCGTAGGTAGCGTAACTGTACAAGCAAGCGCGAAAGCAATACGACAAGGACAAAAAAAAAGGAACTAAAAGAGTAGCGGTAAGACAAAAAAAATAAAAGCAGTAGGTAAGCGTTAGGCAGGAATTGTTAGTGTAGAGTTATTGGGTTGTTTGTTTATGCAAGCGTATGGCGTATGGGCGTATGGCGCATGGCATGCGTGGCGTATGGTATCATATGTACAGGTATTGGTTTGGTTCGGCGGAGCGGATTCGGATTCGACATTCAGCGTTAAAAGGCGAGCGGAGGGGGGGGGGGCGAATTCGATATCCGTAATCGTCCGAGATTCGAGGCAGGTGGTGTTAACGATTTAAATGTAAATTTGAGTAATTGGTGAGGTCGAGTTTCGAAACCGAAATTCGAATTGCGTTTCATATCGCCCTATCGTAGCGCATGTCGTTCGTCGTCGTTCGTTGTTGTTGTTGTTGTTGTTGAAGCAAAAAAAAAAAAAACCGGTTTTGTTGCGTGCGTGTGTGCGTCGAGGGCAAGGCAAAAAAGCAAGCAAGAAGCCGACGGCGAGGGCAAAGGCGAGGGCGACGACGGTTGGGGGAGGAGCACGACGGTCGGGGGAGGAGCACGACGGTCGAGGGAGGAGCGTCGAGGGAGGAGGAGCACGACGGCCAGGAGAGGAGCGTCGTCTGTTGTCTCGTCTCGTCTCGTCTCGTATCTTGTCGCGAAGGACGGGAAGCGACACCCGCCCACGTCGCACACCACGACCACTCACTCACTCATACCCTTCCCGCCCCAGGAACCCCGCCGCCCGCATCGCGCACAGCAGACGCCAGCCGCGGGTCGCGCGTCCGTTCGCTGGGTATCGACGTCGACGCTGGTGGTGGTGGTGGTGCGCCGACGATGCCGTCAGAGGGACCCATTACGGGCACGCTGAGGGGGACGGGGACGTCCAAGGCAAGCCCGAGGCCGACGGCGCCTGCGAGGGTGGTAGAGGTGGTAGAGGTGGTGGGGGAGGGACCTGAGAGAGAGAGAGAGAGAGAGAGAGGGTTAGCGAACGGGTTATTTGAAGACGAAGACGAGAGGAGGAGGAGGACGGAGAGGAGTGACGGTAATGAAAGAAAGACAAAAAAAAAGTAAAAGTAAAAGTAAAAAGCAAAAGCGAAGAAAGGGAGAACACGAGGAGATTAGGAAAGAAAGAAGGAAATCCAAAAAAAAAGAAGGAAGAGGTGTGCAGGGCGAGGGAGAAGCTAAAGAAATCCAAAAAAAAGGGAACGTGTGTCGGATGAGATGAATGAACGAACGGTGGGTGGGGTGGGCGATAAGGAGAAGGGCAGAAGGAACGGCAATGACGAGAATGACGACGATATGACGAGGCGGGGGAGAGGGGGGGGAGCGGGAGGTATAGAGGAGTGAAAGCACAAGGCAATCGATCGACCGCCAAGACCCGGGTCTCGGAGGGTAGGAACGAAAGGTCGAGGCGGGGAAAAGGAGAAAACAGAGAGCGAGAGCGGGAGCGGGAGTGAGCACAGAGAGAAAAACACGGAGAGGTCGAGTTGGGGGTAAAAACGCCGACGAGACGACTCCCACAAAAGAGAAGAGATAGTAGGAAAATAAAATAAAACGTCAACGCACCCCCAACACCCCCCAAACTCATCCCCATCCCCATCCCCGAGCCCGAGCCCGAGCCCGACGCCACAGGTGCCCCTATGGACAGACCTACATCAAAAAAAAACGTCAACATCGACGCGCGCAAAAAAAAGAAAAAAGAAAACGCACCCTCCCCCAACTCCATCTGCACCTGCACCTTCTTCTTCCTCATCCCCCTCCGACTCTCCACGGGATACTCGCATTTCAGCGCGCGGCGCGAACATTGGCTGCGAAAAAAAACGAAAACGCGTTAGTTAGTTAGTGACATGTGAGATGTTGGGATAGGAGGAAGGCGAGATTATGACCAAGACCCGCACCCGCACGTAAGGGAAGCGGCCAACCCCAACCCCAACCCCAGCCCCAGCCCCTAAAAAACCCCAGTTCCGGCCGAGACGCGCGCACCCGAGTTACGGTTCCGGGTTACGCGAACGCAGCCGCATGCGGGGATGGATGGGGTGAGGCGCACGGGGAAAGGCGCGCGGGGAAAGCGAGGGGCCCTCCCAAAAAAGGGAGAAACCCGAAAAACACAGCACCGAAAAAAAAAAAAAAAAACATAGACGGAGTACTCACTTGCACGCCCCCCCGCCCGCCCCGCTGCCCCCACTCGGCGGCCCACACGCGATCTTGCGCCCCCGACAGAAAAGACACGCGAGCGGCGGCTTCTTCGGCGCGTCTTTCCCATCTTTCTTGCCGTCTTTCGCGTTCGCGTCCTTCTTGCTGGACTTGTGCGTCAGCTTTTGCTTCTTCTCGGGACGCGTGGAGGTGGCGGGGGAGTGGGATGCGGAGGGGGAGCGCGAATGTGAATGCGAATGGGAGGTGGACGCTTCGGGGGAGTGGGAATGCGAGTGGGAGGAGGAGGAGGAATTAGAATGTTTCCTCGTCATCCTCCGCCGCCTCACCTCGCCCGTCTGCGCTTCATCGTCGTCGTCGTCGTCGTCCTCCTCGCCATCCTCCTCGCCCTCCTCTCCCTCCGCGTCGGCGTCGGCGTCTGCATCCGCCTCCTCCTGCTTGATGAGCATCATACTCGGCAGCGGGCTCGCGGGGTAGTAGCCTTCTCTTCTCTTCTCTACCGGCGGGGGGCGCGGCTCGCGTCCGCGGAAGGGGAAGCGGGTCGGTGGGGGCGGGTGGGGGTGTGGGATGAGCGCGACCTGGGGGAGGGGGTATTGCGGGTGGACGTCGACGTAGGCGTGAGGCGGGTAGAGAGGCGCGTCGAATGGGGGGGGATACGGAGCTAGAGGCGGGGCCTGTGAGAGGAGCGGGGGATGGGGATATTGGGGGATGTGCTCGGGGACGAGCGAGGGGCGGTACGAGGGGCCGTCAGAGTACGCGGCTGAGGAATCCGAGTACGTGGAGACGGCGCTGGGAGGGGGCTCGTCGTATGGGCTGCTCGCGGGCGAGTAGGACAGGTGCGAGTGGGCGAGGGGGGAGTGGGCGAGGGGGGAGCCGGCCGAGGCGGGGCTGCGGAAGGAGGAGACGGCAGAGGCGGGGGTGCGCGGGCTGCTGCTCGAGTGGGCGCGGGCGTGCATGGACGCCCTGGACAGGTCGAGCTGCGGTGGGATTTGGCGCGGGTAGCCATAAAAAGCCCAGCTGTTCACATCGGGGTGCGCGTACTCCCCGCCCGCGACGCCATAGCTCAGCGGCGGGGCGGCGTCGGGCACGACGGCGACACACTGGGGCACTTGGACCTGGACTTGGGCCTTGATGTCTGGCGGCGCGTAGAGGAGAGCGTGCTCGACCTCGACCTGCTTCGACTGGGCGGTGGGGCGGGCAGCGGGGAAGGTCGCGTAGAAGACCTCGTCGTTGGCGGCGAGAATCTCGTCCATTCTGGATAGGGCAAGATACTGGACAAGATACCGGACGAGCACGAGTCTTGGCGCTATATACCACCACCGAAATGGCACGCGGCCCTCACGATCTGAGATCTGGCTGAAAAGCAGCACAAATAAATAAATGCTTCCGCTGTCAGATCTCGAGCAGGATCGAGATTAGACCCGATATAGACCACGCAAGCGAAGGCCTGATACAGTACGATTCGGATCCCAGGATTCACAACCTTACCCGAAGGGGACCACACCGTCCAACCCTCGTTCCTGAAGCTTATCACCTGCAGCACAGAAGAATATCTGCGATTCAAAACGCCACCACGACCACCCTAAACAATCGATATCATCGCAACTCGTCGTCCAAAAGACATCTCTTTCGCTCCCGCTCATCCTCCAACGCCACACCGACCGCGCTAAACAACCATCATCACCAACTGCTCCTCCCTCTCTGTCGTGACTCTCTTTTCGCTCCGTCTTTTTCGTGTCATTCCCCAGGCCTGTGGACGGATGCAAACGTCTTTTCCTTCTCGGTAAAACATTTGCGCGTACCCGACAAAATATTCACTTTTCGCTCCCAACACACATCCACGCTAAGCAATCACCATCATCGGCTCTCTCTTTCCGTCCTTTCGTATGCGTTATTTTCTGGAACACAACAGCCTCCGACTCGGGTGCATTCCCCGGCGAATTAATCCATCTCTTCTCTACTACTCACTTCGCGCTCCAGGCCGTCTACCTACGATCCCTCGCGCTCATCTCCTCCGTGATTTTCGTGTCAGTCCTTGAATTTATGTCATTAATTCGATGCCCGAGGTGGAGGCCGAGCACTGCTGTCAATATTACTAGTATACATATCAGACGAAAGCAATCATCTTTCAGACTCGGAAAAAAAAACGCGCCTTGCCTCACCAAACTTTCTCTCCCGACACGACCCCCGAACCGCGCTAAACAATCATCTCTCGCGACTCCCTCATCTTTTTTCGTATGCGTTATTTTCTGGAGCACACGTCCGGGTGCATTCACCCGCAAATTCTGTGCGCGCCTAATCACCACCACGACGCGCTCCAGCCCCAGCTCCCGTCTACCGTCTCGCAACTCCCTCCCTCCCGCGTCCCGTCATCTCCTCCGCGATTCTCGTGTGTCGGGGCTCCTGAATCGACTCGGCAGCAACACCCAAAACGCTGCACGCACGTCTCTCGCTCGCTGCTTTCCTGCCGATGCGCTACTACCACTA